TTCTATCTTGAAATCCGAATATTAAATCACCTAGTTCACGTGAGCGATCTGTAAGACACACTATTACCAAAATTGTATCTTAGGATAGAAACAGCAACACAACATTCATTTAAAAATATTCTTTTTATTTAGTTTTTATTAAATCTTTATTAACTAGTAATCATTTCATCATCGTCTGCTGTAACAAAATCTTCAAATATTTCTTCAACTTATATTCATGCAATTCGTGTTAATTATAGTTGATTAGATGCTGATGAAGTTCTTTGTATCTCTAGTCGTTTCGTTTATTTTTAAATAGCATTTTCTTACTCATCTAATCAATCAACTTGAAATGATTGAAGAAACTACATCAGGTTATGATGCATTATCACATGATAAACTTCATTGAAAACAAGTTATTAAAGTAGAAGATTTAATAAAACATTGTGATTCATTAATAGCAAGTGGACATGAACCTGAAACATATGGTAGGAAGCTATATGATGTTTTTCTTGTTTGAATTGACGCAGATAATAAAAAAATGAGAAGCAGAACGAATGATTTTTGTTCACACATCACTAAAACTTGTTCGATATAATAAAATATTGTCATATTTTAAGAAATAGTCACTATGCGAATAACTGAAATATTTATTCGATACAATTAACACTATTTGATGTTGTATGATCAGTTGCGTTACGATCAATTGATCCATTTGTTGTTGCTTTTTGAACATTAGTAAATAGAAATGTTTGTTGTTTTCATTTATGAAATTTTTCTGTAGTTTAAAATTTTTTTTAGAATATCAAATTGTCCATCTACAAATCGATGGTTAATCAATATAAATATGATATTTCAATGTCTTGTACAAAATTTAACTGAAGATGCCATATTAACACGATGGAATGAGATTTTATCATCAGTTAATGGAACACGAGATGAAACGTTTAGCCGATAAGTATTCGAAAGGATTTTATTTATAATTTAAAAACTACTATTCTCTTTTTTCTTTTTAGAACTCTTCTTCGAATTTTAACTAATACTCGACAATTATGTGATCAAATCGATATGACATTAGTTTCTCTTGCATCTGATCATCTTTATATACTTATGCATATTATGGAGAATGGTAATGAATCAAAATAATAGTATATTCGTAGACATTGATATGATTGTCCAGCAATAGGAACATCAATTTTAGTTGAAATAGTCATCTTTGTAACGAAAACTGAAGTGATTAGTTTAAAAATTTCGGTTTGAAACTTTAGGAAGGAGAAACTCGCTGAACAGATAAAAACTGGTTTCTATCAAAGTCAAAAGAGCTTAAGCTTTCATCATAATCTAACTATATCTGTANCATTCAATGTACACAAGAGATAACCTCTTTTAAATAGTAAATATTTATTGTAAAGAAAATTTCAATTATTAATCTTTTTTATTGAGCAGTTGAGCTAAAATCTTTAGAATGTTGTATTGGGTCTAAAACTTGTCTACGGATAAAACTTTAGATGGAAATCTTATAATTAAAGTTTCTGCAAGGATCTTTCCTAGATAAGGAAAATTTGAATATAAGAATGTCATAGTAACAGAAAAACTGATTTTGCGAATATCGATGATCTTAACGAGAGTAGTTTATTGCGAAAGTGTCAGATCTTTTGATTTGGTTCTATCTTGAAATCCGAATATTAAATCACCTAGTTCACGTGAGCGATCTGTAACACACACTATTACCAAAATTGTATCTTAGGATAGAAACAGCAACACAAAATTCATTTAAAAATATTCTTTTTATTTAGTTTTTATTAAATCTTTATTAACTAGTAATCGTTTCATCATCGTCTGCTGTAACAAAATCTTCAAATAATTCTTTAACTTATATTCATACAATTCGTGTTAATTATAGTTGATTAAATGCTGATGAAGTTCTTTGTATCTCTAGTCGTTTCGGTTATTTTTAAATAGCATTTTTTTTACTGATATAATCAATCAACTTGAAATGATTGAAGAAACTACAGCAGATTATGATGTATTATCACATGGTAAACTTCATTAAACACAAGTTATTAAAGTAGAAGATCTAATAAAACATTTTGATTCATTATTAGCAAGTGAACATGAACCTGAAACATATGGTAGGAAGCAAAAGAAACATTTTCGAGAAAAATAAACTATCGTTAAAATGCTTTATTTAGCTTTAGCAGCATTAGAACCAGTTGTATATGATTTTTGTTCACACATCACTAAAATTTGTTCGATATAGTAAAATATTGTCATATTTTAAGAAATAGTCACTATGCGAATAACTGAAATTCCTAAAAAGTTTTATTAAATGATAGTGAACAAAAGGTGTCCTTCTATAAGGTCTCAAATATCATAGAAACTCGAGAGGGTGTGAGTGTGTAGGTGTAAGTTTTCTCCTCGATTGAACCCACACCCACACTTCAATGAATCAATGATCTGAAAATAATGATCTTGTTGATGTCCAGAACTCAACAAGATTTATTGATAGTGTTCGAAATGAAGATGATAAATGAAAACATCTTTCACTACAAATTGTCGATGTACTTCTTATTCATTGACAACCACATGTTACTATTGATTCATCTAAAGTTATTTTTCTTTTTTAATAATCTTCGATTTTACGTTATTTGTTTCTCAAATAGGGTCAATCGTGTTTGGATATTTATTCGATACAATTAACACTATTTGATGTTGTATCATCAATTGCGTTGCGATCAATTGATCCGTTTGTTGTTGTTTTTATTTATGAAATTTTCCTGTAGTTTAAAATTTTTTTAGAATGTCAATTGTCAATCTATAAATCGATGGCTAATCGATATAAATATAATACTTCGATATCTTGTACAAAATTTAACTGAAGATGCTATATTAACACGATGGAATGAGATTTTATCGTCAGCTAACGGAACACGAGATGAAACGTTTAGCCCATAAGTATTCGAAAGGATTTTATTTGTAATTTAAAAACTACTATTCTCGTTTTTCTTTTTAGAACTTTTCTTCGAATTTTAACTAATACTCGGCAATTATATGATCAAATCGATATGACATTAGTTTCTCTTGCATCTGATTATCTTTATATACTTATGCATATTATGGAAAATGGTAATGAATCAAAATAATAGTATATTCGTAGACATTGATATGATTGTCCAGCAATAGGAACATCAATTTTAGTTGAAATAGTCATCTTTGTAACGAAAACTGGAGTGATTAATTTAAAAATTTCGGTTTGAAACTTTAGGAAGAAGAAACTAACTGAACAGATAAAAACTGGTTTCTATCAAAGTCAAAAGAGCTTAAGCTTTCATCANTAGTAACAGAAAAACTGATTATTCGAATATCGATGATCTTAACGAGAGTACTTTATTACGAAAGTGTCAGATCTTTTGATTTGATTCTATCTTGAAATCCGAATATTAAATCACCTAGTGCACGTGAGCGATCTGTAAGACACACTATTACCAAAATTGTATCTTAGGATAGAAACAGCAACACAACATTCATTTAAAAATATTCTTTTTATTTATTTTTTATTAAATCTTTATTAACTAGTAATCGTTTCAACATCGTCTGCTGTAACAAAATCTTCAAATATTTCTTCAACTTATATTCATACAATTCGTGTTAATTATAGTTGATTAGATGCTGATGAAGTTCTTTGCATCTCTAGTCGATTTGCTTATTTTTAAATAGCATTTTCTTACTCATCTAATCAATCAACTTGAAATGATTGAAGAAACTACAGCAGGTTATGATGTATTATCACATGATAAACTTCATTGAAAATAAGTTATTAAAGTAGAAGATTTAATAAAACATTGTGATTGATTATTAGCAAGTGGACATGAACCTGAAACATATGGTAGGGAGCTATATGATTGTTTTCTTGTTTGAGTTAACGCAGATAATAAAAAAAAAATAGAAGCAGAGCGAATGATTTTTGTTCACACATCACTAAAACTTGTTCGATATAATAAAATATTGTCATATTTTAAGAAATAGTCACTATGCGAATAACTGAAATTTCTAAAAAGTTTTATTAAATGATAGTGAACAAAAGGTGTCCCTCTATAAGGTCTCAAATATCATAGAAACTCGAGAAGGAGTGAGTGTGTAGGTGTAAGTTTTCTTCTCGATTGAACCCACACCCACACCCTTTTCTTTTCAAATAGGATCAATCGCTTTTGGATACTTATTCCACACAATTAACACTATTTGATGTTGTACCATCAGTTGCATTACGATCAATTGATCCATTTGTTGTTGTTTTTATTTATGAAATTTTCCTGTAGTTTAAAATGTTTTTTTAGAATGTCAAATTGTCAATCTACAAATCGATGGTTAATCAATATAAATATGATATTTCAATGTCTTGTACAAAATTTAACTGAAGATGCTATAATAGCACGATGGAATGAGATTTTATCATCAGTTAATGGAACACGAGATGAAACGTTCAGCCCGTAAGTATTCGAAAGAATTTTATTTGTAATTTAAAAACTACTATTCTCGTTTTTCTTTTTAGAACTCTTCTTCGAATTTTAACTAATACTCGACAATTATGTGATCGAATCGATATGACATTAGTTTCTCTTGCATCTGATTATCTTTATGCATATTATGGAAAATGGTAATGAATCAAAATAATAGTATATTCGTAGACATTGATATGATTGTCCAGCAATAGGAACATCAATTTTAGTTGAAATAGTCATCGTTGTAACGAAAACTGGAGTGATTGATTTAAAAATTTCGGTTTGAAACTTTAGGAAGAAGAAACTAACTGAAGAGATAAAAACTGGTTTTTATCAAAGTCAAAAGAGCTTAAGCTTTCATCATAATCTATATGATAGTAACATATCACCAATTAATTTGAAGACAAAACTTTCCTAACATTCGTTAATTACTAATGAGCTAGCGAAAAACGTTTGACTTTATAATTTCTATGCTTATATAAGTTCTATGATTTTATTTTAGCTAAACAATTTCGAACATTCGTGATGAAACTGTACATCGTCTTGATACATTTTCATATTTAACTGTTTTAAGTGAGAAGCATGGTGGTCATCAATACTAACACCATCATCATTAATAACACATCATCAATGATTATTTTTTATTTGGACAAAGTGAATTTAGATGAAAGTGATCTTGTATTGATTTTATTAATTGACAATTTTTTCCATTATCATATATATCTGTATTACGTTGAGCTGAATTAATTGTTTGTCGTTGTATGGAAATGATGTTAATACTTGATCAACAAACATTAAATAAACAATTATTACCTAAATATTTACCATTAATTTTATAATTATTATCAATAACAATATCAATCGATATGACACCAAAAATTTATGCACAAATGCTTAAAAATGTAACTTATAAAAAATGATTACCAGTTATGAGGNGAAGCAGAGCGAATGATTTTTGTTCACACATCACTAAAACTTGTTCGATATAATAAAATATTGTCATATTTTAAGAAATAGTCACTATGCGAATAACTGAAATTTCTAAAAAGTTTTATTTAATGATAGTGAACAAAAGGTGTCCCTCTATAAGGTCTCAAATATCATAGAAACTCGAGAGGGAGTGAGTGTGTAGGTGTAAGTTTTCTTCTCGATTGAACTCACACCCACACCCTTTTCTTTTCAAATAGGTTTCAATCGCTTTTGGATACTTATTCCACACAATTAACACTATTTGATGTTGTATCATCAGTTGCGTTACGATCAATTGATCCGTTTTTGTTGTTGTTTTTATTTATGAAATTTTCCTGTAGTTTAAAATTTTTTTAGAATGTCAAATTGTCAATCTACAAATCGATGGTTAATCAATATAAATATGATATTTCAATGTCTTGTACAAAATTTAACTGAAGATGCTATATTAGCACGATGGAATGAGATTTTATCATCAGTTAATGGAACACGAGGATGAAACGTTTAGCCCATAAGTATTCGAAAGGATTTTATTTGTAATTTAAAAACTACTATTCTCGTTTTTCTTTTTAGAACTCTTCTTCGAATTTTAACCAATACTTGACAATTACATCGTCCAATCAAAATAACATGATTTTCTCTTGCATCTGATTATTTTTATGTATTTATGCATATTATGGAAAATGGTAATGAATTAAAATAATAGTATATTCGTTGACATTGATATGATTGTCCAGCAATAGGAACATCAATTATAGTTGAAATAGCCATCTTTGTAACGAAAACTGGAGTGATTGATTTAAAAATTTCGGTTTGAAACTTTAAGAAGAAGAAACTAACTGAACAGATAATAACTTGTTTCTATCAAAGTCATAAGAGCTTAAGCTTTCATCATAATCTAACTATATCTGTATTACGTTGAGCTGAATTAATTGTTTGTCGTTGTATGGAAATGATGTTAATATTTGATCAACAAACATTAAATAAACAATTATTGCCTAAATATTTACCATTAATTTTATAATTATTATCAATAACAATATCAATCGATGTGACACCAAAAATTTATGCACAAATGCTTTAAAATGTAACTTATAAAAAATGATTACTAGTTATGAGGTCACTGGTATGTTTTATTTCCATTTATCGAAATAAATATATATGTATAATGAAAATTTCAGTTCAATTAAAGAAAAAAATGTTTGTTTTACTTTGACATTGTTTATGTGTTNAGATTAATTTCGAAAATTTCCCCACATGCTAACGAATTTTCAAAAATTTCCCCCGACGGCCGTCGGCGCACACGGGTAGATTCTGCACGGCTGACAATCTGGTAAAGGAGCTTGTGACAGAGTTTAGTTGATGCCACCTCAATTGGTTAAAGTCTCAAAGGTTTAGTGATAGATATGACAATTTCACTATTATATGAAACATATATACTGGAGCTCAGAGACTGCATTTATACATGAGAGATTGAAATTATACAATTACCTCAAAAAAAGTGGCAAGCCAAACTACGAGTTCTGTACATACTTAGTAGGAAAGAGATGTTCGGTTTTTCATTAGTCCTTGAAGATTTCTGACTAAAAATATAATTTTGTAATTGTGATGAAATTCCTATCTCTATATGACTTGTAATACATTAAAATCTATCGAACATTGACGTGTCTTTTTTTTCTTTTCTTTAAGATATGACATATCTTTTATCTTTATGTAACACGGTGATCTATATTTACGTGATACATTAATTCAAACGACAATTCATCTTTTAACACTATCATCATGATCAAATTCTTTTATTAATCAATGTTAGGTTAGAATGTTGATCGTCTCTTATTTTTGATAAAAATATTTTTTTTTTGTTTTTAAAGATATTCAATTAGGGGTATATCAGCTAGATTACTTTCTACATTTTGATTATGTCTTCATGATAATAATGCGCATGTTATACATCATTTATCAATGCTTTACGAACATTATTAATCTTTTTTATTGAGCGGTTGAGCTAAAATCTTTAGAATGTCGTATTGAGTCTAAAACTTGTCTACGGATAAAACTTTAGATGGAAATCTTATAATTAAAGTTTTTGCAAGGATCTTTCCTAGAGAAGGAAAATTTCAATCGAAGAATGTCATAGTAACAGAAAAACTGATTATTCGAATATCAATGATCTTAACAAGAGTAGTTTATTGCGAAAGTGTCAGATCTTTTGATTTGATTCTATCTTGAAATCCGAATATTAAATCATCTAGTTCACGTGAGCGATCTGTAAGACACACTATTACCAAAATTGTATCTTAGGATAGAAACAGGAACACAACATTCATTTAAAAATATTCTTTTTATTTAGTTTTTATTAAATCTTTATTAACTAGTAATCGTCTGCTGTAACAAAATCTTCAAATATTTCTTCAACTTATATTCATGCAATTCGTGTTAATTATAGTTGATTAGATGCTGATGAAGTTCTTTGTATCTCTAATCGTTTCGTTTATTTTTAAACAGCATTTTCTTACTCATCTAACCAATCAACTTGAAATGATTGAAGAAACTACAGCAGGTTATGATGTATTATCACATGATAAACTTCATTGAAAACAAGTTATTAAAGTAGAAGATTTAATAAAACATTATGATTCATTATTAGCAAGTGAACATGAACCTGAAACATATGGCAGGAAGCTATATGATTTTTTCTTGTTTGAGTTAAAGCAGATAATAATAAAAAATAGAAGCAGAGCGAATGATTTTTGTTCACACATCACTAAAACTTGTTCGATATAATAAAATATTGTCATATTTTAAGAAATAGTCACTATGCGAATAACTGAAGTTTCTAAAAAGTTTTATTAAATGATAATGAACAAAAGGTGTCCCTCTATAAGGTCTCAAATATCATAGAAACTCGAAAGGGAGTGAGTGTGTAGGTGTAAGTTTTCTCGATTGAACCCACACTCTTTTCTTTTCAAATAGGGTCAATCGCTTTTAGATACTTATTCCACACAATTAACACTATTTGATGTTGTACCATCAGTTGCATTACGATCAATTGATCCATTTGTTGTTGTTTTTATTTATGAAGTTTTCCTGTAGTTTAAAATGTTTTTTAGAATGTCAAATTGTCAATCTACAAATCGATGGTTAATCAATATAAATATGATATTTCAATGTCTTGTACAAAATTTAACTGAAGATGCTATATTAACACGATGGAATGAGATTTTATCATCAGTTAATGGAACACGAGATGAAACGTTTAGCCCATAAGTATTCGAAAGGATTTTATTTGTAATTTAAAAACTACCATTCTCGTTTTTCTTTTTAGAACTCTTCTTCGAATTGTAACTAATACTCGACAATTATGTGATAGAATCGATATGACATTAGTTTCTCTTGCATCTGATTATCTTTATGTACTTATGCATATTATGGAAAATGGTAATGAATCAAAATAATAGTATATTCGTAGACATTGATATGATTGTTCAGCAATAGGAACATCAATTTTAGTTGAAATAGTCATCGTTGTAACGAAAACTGGAGTGATTAATTTAAAAATTTCGGTTTGAAACTTTAGGAAGAAGAAACTAACTGAACAGATAAAAACTGGTTTCTATCAAAGTCAAAAGAGCTTAAGCTTTCATCATAATCTAACTATATCTGTATTACGTTGAGCTGAATTAATTGTTTGTCGTTGTATGGAAACGATGTTAATACTTGATCAACAAACATTAAATAAACAATTATTACCTAAATATTTATCATTAATTTTATAATTATTATGAATAACAATATCAATCGATATGACACCAAAAATTGATGCACAAATGCTTTAAAATGTAACTTATAAAAAATAATTACCAATTATGAGATCACTGGTATGTTTTATTTCCATTTATCGAAATAAATATATATGTATAATGAAAATTTCAGTTCAATTAAAGAAAACAATGTTTGTTTTACTTTGACATTGCTTATGTGTTAATAATAGATGAAACTTTCGAATAATTCGAAATTTCGAAAAGTATTTCGAAGTATAATATTTATTGGTCTACTGTACTTATATATAAAGAAGAACGAATTTTTATGACATAGATAAGAAACACAAAATGTAGAATTTCAGGTAATACGAATCATAAAGGAAAGCGTTTAAGCTACATTAGTACAACGGCCGAACCATTCATGTCGAATCTCATTGGTCAAATTTAGCTAAAGAAAACCCCATCTTTCTAATATTATGCAATGACTAATGAAGAAAATAATGATAAATAATTTTAAAAATATCTCGCAAGATGTTTTCTATTGTTTTATTTATTTGCAATTCAAACTAATTTTTAAAAATCAGGAATTTGAAGTTTATAACACGTTCTTCTAAATAAATATCATGAACCGATGGCGAAGGATGCAACAATAGCGTTGATCTTATATTTATTTCGACTTTTTCGGTCGAAAACAGTCTATTGTTTTAAAACTCAGCTATTTTCTTGCAATAGTCTCTCTGACTCAAAAAATATCGAAATTCATTCAAGACTATCATTCCTTACTTTATTATACATTCACTAGATTACCATACGCTTATCAACGTTGTATTGCATGTTTAAGTCATTGTTTTTCTTCCATAGTATAGAATTTTTGACAATGATTCTCATATAAATGAAAATCACTTCAGAAAATAAGAAACAATATAATTTTTTTTCTTTTAAGAACTTCGAATCGTTATCAATACATCATTTGTCTTGTTCTTAGTGTTATTATTCCATGATTATGGCACGGATCAATAAACGCATTAATTTTAAAAAAGTCTTTAGCAATTGACAGAGGAGAAGTTGGGATATCTTTTTCCTCGATCATGTATAAGACGAAATCCTTTTCAAACTTATCATCTTCGAAAAATATGGAAAAANACACGATGGAATGAGATTTTATCATCAATTAATGGAACACGAGATGAAACATTTAGCCCATAAGTATTCGAAAGGATTTTATTTGTAATTTAAAAACTACTATTCTCGTTTTTCTTTTTAGAACTCTTCTTCGAATTTTAACTAATACTCGACAATTACGTCGTTCAATCAAAATAACATGATTTTCTCTTGCATCTGATTATCTTTATTCAGTTATGCATATTATGGAAAATGGTAATGAATCAAAATAATAGTATATTCGTAGACATTGATATGATAGTCCAGCAATAGGAACATCAATTTTAGTTGAAATAATCATCTTTGTAACGAAAACTGGAGTGATTAATTTAAAAATTTCGGTTTGAAACTTTAAGAAGAAGAAACTAACTGAACAGATAAAAACTGGTTTTTATCAAAGTCAAAAGAGCTTAAGCTTTCATCATTATCTAACTATATCTGTATTACGTTGAGCTGAATTAGTTGTTTGTCGTTGTATAGAAATGATGTTAATACTTGATCAACAAACATTAAATAAACAATTATTACCTAAATATTTACTATTAATTTTATAAATATTATCCGTAACAATATCAATCGATATGACACCAAAAATTGATGCACAAATGCTTAAAAATGTAACTTATAAAAAATGATTACCAGTTATGAGGTCACTGGTATGTTTTATTTCCATTTATCGAAATAAATATATATATATAATGAAATTTCAGTTCAATTAAAGAAAAAAATGTTTGCTTTACTTTGACATTGTTTATGTGTTAATAATAGATGAAACTTTCGAATAATTCAAAATTTCGAAAAGTATTTCGAAGTATAATACTTATCGGTCTACTGTACTTATATATAAAGAAGAACGAATTTTTATGACATAGATAAGAAACACAAAATTTAGAATTTCAGGTAATACGAATCATAAAGAAAAACATTTAAGCTACATTAGTACAATGACCGAACCATTCATCTCGAATCTCATTGGTCAAATTTAGCTAAAGAAAACCCCGTCTCTCTAATATTATGCAATGACTAATGAAGAAAATAATGATAAATAATTTTAAAAATATCTCGCAAGATGTTTTCTATTGTTTTATTTATGTGGAACTCAAACTAATTTTTAAAAATCAGGAATTTGAAGTTTATGACACGTTCTTCTAAACAAATATCATGAACCGATGGCGAAGGATGCAACAATAGCGTTGATCTTATATTCATTTCGACTTTTTCGGTCGAAAACAGTCTATTGTTTTAAAACTCAGCTATTTTCTTGCAATAGTCTCTCTGACTCAAAAAACATCGAAATTCATTCAAGACTATCATTCCTTACTTTATTATACATTCACTAGATTACCATACGCTTATCAACGTTGTATCGCATGTTTAAGTCATTGTTTTTCTTCCATAGTATAGAATTTTTAGAATGATTCTCATATAAATGAAAATGACTTCAGAAAATAAGAAACAATATAATTTTTTTTCTTTTAAGAACTTCGAATCGTTATCAATACTTCATTTGTCTTGTTCTTAGTATTATTATTCCATGATTATGGCACGGATCAATAGGTGCATTAATTTAAAAAATCAATCATCTATGTTTTTCGTTACGAACACAACGATTAATATCAAATGAAATAAATTTCTTAATTTTTTTGTAAAAATCAACTCAAAAAAGAAAAAAATTTTAAGTAGAAAACTGCATTAATTTATCGTCGTCGTCGTGTATATAAAACTTCGGGTGTTGTTATCAGCTGAAATACATGTTGCTGTTTTTTCTGTTGCCGAAGTTCTTCCGAATGAGCCAGAGTACATCGTTGTTCACATTTTTCACAATAGATCAACGAAGGACAATGAATACAAGAAAACAGAATGCCTTCAACATCGTTGTGACAACCATCACATCTGAAAATGAATTTTGTCATAGACCTATCGGCTAACTATATCGAATTATTTACCTAATATCTGCATGAACGACTCTTTGTTTATTTTCTGGACATGGTAGGTCGTTTTTAATTTGTTCTACAGGCGTGTTGGTAATTGGTACATAAGGTTGAGCTTCATCCCAATTGAAATTTTTGCCACATCCTGATTGCTGATCACCGCCATGATAATTTCTACCACAGACCATGCTGCTGCATCCTCCCATGTGTTGTACGACTCGTTTACAATATGGACAAAGACGACAATTCTGAGCTTTGAAATCTTCATCGGCTTTCAAATTATTGTAACGATGACGCAATTCTTCGTTTCTCTGAGTATTCGCCGCCAGCTGTCTTTCATAATCGTCTAATTGAGCACGATAAGTAGCATCTTGTTGTGCTCGAACTCTCCAATAATTGCCACGTTCTTCAAAGTGTAAAAAAGAACAAGTTCTGTCTGTGTTTGATAAAATTGTCTTGATTTACCTGTATTACACCAAACAAACCATCGTTGTGTTATTTGTGTTACTTGCTGACAAGTAGTTCGATAGTGATATTGTTGATTACAAATCGAACAAAATTCATTGGTGCAAGAACGACATACGACTCGAAAACGTTCATTTGGGTTTCGTGCCTCCACTACCCATTTACAATCTCGATTTGGACATTTGATGAGGCCACGAGCATTGTTGACAAAATTATTGAATGTCTTCTGTATTTGATACTCATGAAACTTCCTCTTTTGATCTCGAGATACTCTCAGTTGATTAATTTCTCCATCCTGTAATTGATAATTACAAATACCACACGTAAGAACTTCATTACTATCCATCTTAGTTGTACATGATCGTTCAAAGCAGTTGTAACACAATTTGTGAGCGTCCTTGCAACCGAAAACGAAAATATCGTCGTACGAACATGATTCCAGACAAACACCACAGTCAAGAGTAGGCACTTCAAGTGGGAATTTATCTTCTAGAATAAAAAGAAAAGAAATATTTCAAATGATGATCGACAACAATCAATGTTTCCGATCAATCGAAACGATGAAAAATGACGCTTTCCTTGACCATTTCTTTTTTGTGATCTTCATAATGTTTTCCTGGCATGTTCTATTCAGTTTTCGAAAGATTCCAACGAATTCAAGAGAAAAGTTGCTGGAATTCTCTCGACTCAAAGCTGAGTAGAATGCAATCATGTGGAAGACTTGAAGCACAAGAAAAGTGATTGATTTCGAGAATCGAATCGATTGACTTTCAACATTATGAGAGAACGCACCAAATTCGGCTAATACATCGACCATTTTATGAGGATCAAGTACTCGTCGATTTTGTCTTTGTCGTTCGATATAAAAACGAACTTGTATTGGTGTAAAAGGATATTTCAATTTCGATAGGATGAAGTCTATAAATGCTTGTTGTCGTTGCTGCTCTGAAATATTCCGACAATATCGAGAATGTTCATCCAATTGATAAAATCTATATAGACATTGACAATATTCACATGGAGCCATGTCGTCTGCATCGCACGACATTGCATGTTGTTGAAATGCTGTCATCGTTTGAAACTCAATATAGAAAAGACATTGAGGACATTGAGGACGTCTTTCTGTAGTAACAAGTGCTATTAAACGTGTAATTATATCTTCGTCGAGTGGTAAACATGAGACGTCATATTTCGACAATTGATAATCACAAACACCTGCATAACAACGTGGATCTGTCTTCGATTCAATATGTTCTTTCATCGATCTTTGCACACATGTAATACACAACATGTGATGGAATTGGCATGGCATCATATGATTCAAATTTTTTGTTGGAACTATTGGTGATGTGCTTGAAAAAAAGAATCCAATGATAGAGATTTATAGGATACATGTATTGTTCATGCCAAGAAAGGAGCCAGCAAGCGGCAGCGAGAACCGACTGTTAAAGTATATAGTAAAAAAATTGAATCGTACTGATTGCTAGCTTCTCACAAAAACTATTATAGATATAGTTAAGTTTTTCGACTATGTTTAAAGCGATCGCTTCCTGTTTCACGTTTTAGCTCCATATGGATTGTGCTTAAAGCCTTTTCAAATTGGCGCCTTTGAAAATGTTTTTCTTCAATTTTGATATTAAATACGAGTAACTCTAGTAGAGTTACTCTACAAAGACAATTGTCTTTCTATTTTTGGATGATTAAAATTTCACTAGTGACAACGTTTCATTTGATCTGCTGCCTACTGATTAACTCACCATGGTCGGGAATCTGACTCAACCAGATCAAATTGATTAGTGCTGTTTTTTTCTCATATGTCTAGTGATCTTAATGTTAGTGTAGTAGAACAATGTTTCATAGAGAATTTACGTTTGATTTTATGCTGGTTTTAGAGCTAAAACAAAATTTCTGCCAAAATATTGAGATTGATCATAAATCACTGTAAAATGATTAGCTTTTTCTTATCCGATTTAACAGTTCTTAGGAATTTTTTTTTTCACTTTCAAAACAGTAGAACATAGAAAAATCAAGTCGGGCGTGGTTCAAGGAGAAAGACCTAAAGTCAAAATTGTGATTCATTGGATTCTACTTCACAAGATGCTCAAAAACGATTCATAAAATAATTCGAAACAATAAACACATTCTAACTCAATGCGAATGTTCTACTCACCATATAAAACATGTATAGTTGCTACTTGAGACTAATCGTGTCGAACCCGATGGATGTGATGATTGATTAAGACATGCATTCACATGAGAGATGTATTCTTTTTCCATAATATCCTTTGAGCAAATGATACAGGACCTAGTCTTCTTCGTAACCGTCATCGACTCACAACACATCTGTACGTGGTCTATATAGTCTGCCTCATTAATGAGTCGACAGCACACAATGCAGTTTTGACCATTACTTGAATTCGAAATTTCGACTGTTTCTCGTTCATTGTTATCATCGGCAATTGTCCTAAATAAACGTATAATTCAATAATAGAAATGACAAAGACTATTCTCTATGTTTATTTTCCTCTTGAACAAATATGTTGTCGAATGAAAGCCAACTATAAATGATCGAAAACTACATGGCAAAATGTTGTTATGATCATTCTATTCGATCTACGTTGAAATCAATCGATATCAACAACGAATGAGTAAATTGAATTACACGAAGATTCAGTCTGCATCGAAATATTAACGAGAGAAGGTTTACAGTGACTTTTATATGAAGACGATTTTAATTCTATTCTGTCTTCATCAACTTCAAGGCTACCATTTTAATTAATACAATTCAGGAATTTCATATCATAGTCATCAGTTAACTGTATATTCCCTTTCTATTAATCTTTACTTTTCCATGTATCACAAGAGAACGTCGAACGAAATAGGCTTTCTTCGAAACATTTTATATTTTACTGAATGTTCCATAAATGTAAACGAACTAGCCACAACACAAACGACTTTGCACAATACTTCTTTCTATGGGATATAGGCGGCACAATGGCTAAAGGTGACTTGAAGTTCTTCACTCTTCATGTCTCCACAAACCATCTATTTTCTCTAAAATTTATATTATGACAGCGAGAGTCAAACCGGTGTGCCAATAGTTTTTTTTTTGTTGCAAAATATTGTTTCCTTTGCGTAGGAGAATCAAAATTCTAGAAACGATGCAAAAGAATGGTGTTTTTTATTTATCCAAATTTTGAAAAATCTACTAGGATTCAGCAAGAGAAGTTTTTCTGTGAACAGAAAGAGACACTCTACTTCGATAGAATTGGTTTTTAAAAGTTTCTGCTTAATCGGTCTTATTCTAAAAGGTAATTTCGAGAGAATGCGAGAACGAAAGTTTTCGTATTATTCTAACCAATGTTTTTTGAATTTTCTGACATGTTTTGTTTTTATTGTAAAAGGTAAGTTTGCGTTGTCATAAGTTTTCATCGATTCACTGAAGAGGGCACTTTAGGTCGCATCTGATTGAGAAAACGAAAATAGAAAATTTCAAAATTATAAGACCCGAAAGTGGAAGAAGGAAGCAATCTTCTGAACGCAAAATTATTTTCAAATTTCGATCATTCTTTTATGTGGAAAAAATCAACACTGGTGCTATCAAAATGAGCATTACTTACGGATACAGCATCATTCGTCTAAAATGTGAAGTTAAGCACTCGCTGATTATTAGAAGATAATAAGAACAAAACACTTACAGAAGTCTTATGCTGGATGACTATCGTTGGCAAATATGAAAGTAGTTACTTGCTGCGTGCTTTATTGATGAAAGTTTTCTCTTTCTATCTAGAAGCAAAATGTAAAAAAACGTGCGTTTATCTTCCGTCTTCTCCACCACGTCACATTGCAGACAAAAAGAATCCAAAGAATGAGAAGATGTTTGACTCATGAAGTCTTGACTCATTATGTTGCAATGCCGACCAACGCATTACTCTTTCTTCTTTCCAACTAAAGCGAGTTTCTTACGAACAATTAACAATCGACAATGTCGTAAATCAGATTCTTTCGAGCACAAAAGTACTATCGGCAAAACACATACTTCTAGTCATATCCACTATAGTAGAAGATATATTCGACTTGTCATGTGCTACGGTACAATATCTCATCGATTGTGATGTGGATGTAAGTGTTGGTGTGGGACTGTGTGTCTGAATAGTTGAAGAGATGAGTTACACGCACGCTCACCCATATCCACGCCCACACCCACGCCCTCCAATCATCGTCGAAGAGCAAAAAAAATTGATTGACTCGCATACTTTGCTTTGTTCTTGATCACATCAAGTGTGTATATTTCTGTAAAGTAGTCTCTTGAGTAGCTGATTCCATTTGCAAAGAAAAAGTTTCATGAACTAATAAAGAACGGTGCTCTTTTTTCACTGACGTCATTTAGTTTCTTCCAATATCTAACACACACGTGCATGCAATTCGATGTCAACTTCGAACTCAGTCGAGAGAAGCACATAAGATACTTGTTTGATTCATAGAATATTTTTAGCCATTTTATTAATGATGAGATTGGTTGTTGTGGGTGTTGATCATTTTCAATTCACATCAACACCCATTACACCGATATGCACGCATTCTATCTTACAAAGCTTGGATTAATGATCTGCTGGAGCGTGATATATCTTTTGTTTTTCTTTTTCTTCATGTCAATTTGTTGCTCTTTGTAACAAATACATAGAAGAGACACCTGTAACGATCATTTTTACGTTATTATTCAATAAGTGAAATTCGCATCGTATAAAGCAAGAAGTTTTCATTAGCGTCCGATGCACAAGTAATAGCATAAAATATCAATTGTCTTTCATTTTTTTCTTTTTCAATAATAAACACTTGATTCGAATTAAGCTGCTTGGTTTTTCAAATTTTCTGAACGAGAAGCTATTTAGAAGTCTCCACCTCAGTTTTTAACATTTTTTCGTCGATATTTTTACTTTCGATCAAAGTTGAGATAATCGTTAATTTATAACTTCTTCTAGAATTTTTTATTTGCAATGTGTTTCAATTGAATACAGTAGACTGGATTAACGTTTGAAACATTTCGAACGAGCAAGATAACGAAAGGCACACAATAAACAGGACAAAATGTTTCCTCTTTTTAATGCACATCTCAACACGTTAGTGATTTTGTTTTTTAGGTTCATTCAATAGAGAATTTTCTGCTCTACAAAACTACTGTCTTTAGTTCTGAATAGAGAGTTTCATACTTTCTGCTTCTACGACCTTTCCAAGGTTTCTATCCTATTGTTCAGATTTGAATAAAAAAAAAAGGAAGTTATTTAAAAAATAAGAACAGTAGTTTTGTAGAGCAAAAAATTCTTCAGAGAACAAACCTAAAACGAAGTCTCTAATGTGTTAAGAATTTTGTCCCGTTTATCATGTGCCACATATTATTCTTTCACAGCTTTCAAAAAAAAAACACCGTAATTTTATTATTCTTCGTTATATTAAACAAATAAAAGAAGCATAGGATAGAAAAAAAGAAAAGGACGAATACGTTATTGTCAAGAAATTGTATCAAATGCATTACGTAGATTTTGTTCTCTTGATTTAATCCATTCAATATTCATTCTGACTTGATCAATTGCTTGTTGACGTGCTGATTGTCCAGCACCAGCATTTGGATATCTTGCAAATAATTCATTCATCTTAAAAGAAACAAAAAAGAAGAAATTTTGACAAATGAACGATAAAAAAAAAACAAAGAATCATTTTACTTCTTGAAGATAAGATTCTTTATCAAATGAACGTGTAATTGAAACAATAGCTGTAGCAAATCGACGATTTTCAAGTGTAAAACTAAATGAAAACAAAAAATAAGATGTTTTCTTTTTAATATATGTTTTACAATAAAATTCTTACTGATTAACTAAATTTTGATAATTGTCTTTATAGAAAGTCCAAACTGTTTCTCTTCCAATGGCATGACGACACATGTAACCCATCATAGTAAAATAATCTTGACTTCTAACTGTATTTGAACTACCTGTTAGTCCGTCATTAAGTAATCTTTAAGAAGAAAAAATACGAATTAAAGTTAAAACTAACAAATCATCTTATAAATTTTCTACTGATTCAAACGATTTGTATTATTTGTTGAACTAATGGCAACTAAAGAACGAGTTTGTTCATGTGTTGATGTTGCTATTTTATAATAATTAAACATTCTATTCCAATCAGCTTCATTAGCATCATTTTTCAAATGATATGTATAAACAGTTGATAAGAAATCTGCAGGAATACTAAACATAAAAAGTTTAATGGGATATTTTTCTTTTGTCTACTATGTTATAGAAAGACTTTACTTGATATCGGCATTACCATTATTGAAATATTCCACGGGAATTGATTTAAATAAAGCAGTTGCTTTTTCAATAGCAACTCGATGATTCATTCGACAAAGAAGTGCAAATTGTAAACTTTTGACTAATCTATTGTTAAAAAAATAAATATGGAATATTTGTTTCTTATGTATTATACTTTGTATTATCATCATCATTAAGATTTAATGCTAAAATATTATCAAGTGTCACACCATTTGAAAGGATTTGTTGAATAGCAAAATTCTAAAAGAAATGTTCTTGAAAACAAAAAAAACTTCAAAAATTGTTTCACACTTGAAATTTAGTCAATGTATCAGGTAAATAATCAACTAAATCAGCTAAGGTTTCCCAATGCCATTGAAATGTTTTCCAATGAACATATTGTGTCGTATTTATTTTTACTAATGAACGCACAATTCTTAATGATTCAATATAATCAACTAAACCTTTATAAGCAAGTAGAAAAGTATCTTGCATTAAATTAACTTTATCTTCATTTGAAAAAAACTAAATAAAATAAGAAAATAAAAATAATTAAATATCAATTAAATATAATTTACTGTTGGTTGTGCTTCTAATACTGTTGAAAAACGTTGCCATGTAGATGTTGGAAATGAATATTTAGTAACATAAAAACTTTGAAAATTTTGATTACATTTAATCCATGAAAAAGATTTTCCAGGTAAAATTCGATCTTCTTGTTCATTTTCAAGAATAAAATTAATTGTTTCACCACCTATATCTGTTGTATCAGAATTTGGATAACGACCACCTAGAAAATATAATTATAAATTAAAATATTTCATAAGAAAATATATTTCTATTTAACCTAATACACAGTTTATATTTATTTTCCAGCGATAATTTTGATTAAGATTTGATGAATTTAATGCATCTGATATAATAAAACGGGATTGTGTAAATACTAATTTTGTTTCACCATTTTCCACATTTAAACCAACATTTAATAATGGATAATTCATTTCATTTAACCAAGTGTTCATAAATTCGGTTCCATTAGTAGTTGTCAATAATTTATCATAAAACATATTGAGATCACCAACACTATATGCATTGATTAGTAAATAATCTCGTATATTATTACGAAAATTTTCTGAACCAGTAATTTTTTCTAACATACGCATTAGACTTACACCTTTTGAATATGCTAATGCATCAAGATAACTCAATATTTCACCAACACTTGCTGCATTTCTAACAACAATTGGATGTGAAGATGGTTTAGCATCATCCCACATAGCTGGAATTGTATATTCAGTTAACACTTGTAATTCCTTTCAGAAAGACAAAAAAAAAGCAAATGACTAAAATCAAAAAAAAAAAAAAAATTAAAGATATGTATTACCATATTCCAATCAGCATGATTAACTGCAAATGTTTTGCGACAAAGCCAACTAACCATAGCTTCACTGAAGAGATTGTTTATAAAAGACATTCGTACATAGATGATTTATTCTCTATTAATCAAGAATTGGAATAACGGTCAAGTAAACAGAAGATTGATAGTTTGATTCATCTGTATTTGCTTTCATTTACGTCTTTGCTATTATAATGTGCCTGAACATCAATTCCCTTATTCGTTTATAGTCGCTGTTTTGGAACGACAAGAGAATAATACGTTATTGAGGACAAAGAAAACCCTTACCAGTGTAAAGTGTTACTTTTAATTTTAAATTTTCGAGAATATTTTTCTTTAGATTAATTGGTAATGAAACACAGCAGAGATCGAAACGAATAAGAAGATCTAGCATTGGATTGGATTTCTGTTGAAAAGATAACATCTTCATTGTAAAGAGCAATTCACTTAGACTTTTTGTGTCTACCTTTATAATAAATCGATTCATAAAAAAACATATTAAAAATTTGCAAAAAGAACTCATAACATACATAATGAAATAAGCATAAGCACAAAGGGATACTTAGACTAACTGACAGATAAGGTCTAGGAAACATTTCAATTTAATAGCCAAGATTGAATTAGTTCTTTCCTTATGCCTGGAAAACAAACATCCTAAAAAGATAAATTAACCAGTTCTTTTATAGTTTTTCAATCCAAACTACACCTAATAATTGATGATCTCACACGGAATCAACTCACGAACGAAGACCTCTAGCAGACTAATAACTTTTGAGTAGAGGCTATGTGCATCATGTAGATTCTAATGAGATATGAATATTCCGAGAAGAATTCAGGTCCTGTTACGAGGGAACATTCTCAAGTAATCCGCTTTGTTCTCCCAATATTTTGTCAATAGGTCGGAGATTACTACGATAGAGTAACCTCTCAAATATTTCTAACTCTTGCTTAGATTTGATCAAGACAGAGATTTTTTAGTAGATTTCCTTACATGAGTTCAGTTGTCGAAAAAAATTATATTTGGGAATTTCGAACTGAAGCTTTGCATACATGAAGATCTGTAGTAGACTGTCTCTTGTACGAAAATTTTATCAGTTTTTGATATTGCTTTGTTAAGATATGAACTTCTTGATATATCGATGCTTTTCTTCGGGCTTTGTGAGATAAGAATCTCTTGAGAAATCCATATCGTAGCAATGCAATATCCTAAATTGATGAAATTTGATAAATGAAATAGTCTGATACAGACATTAATGTATACAAAATTCTAGATCAAAATCACTCAAGATAATTGTTGTTTCAAAACAGCATTCCTACAAGAGAAATCTACTAAAAAGCTACTATCTCGACGAAATCTAAACAAGAACATAAAGCTTTTGAAGGTTATACTATTCTAATGATCTCGTACACATTAGGTATATATGCGAGCAAATAGACATGTCGTGACTCTCTTTATAAGAATTCCTTTTCAATAATCTCATCTGAGTGAACACAACATATTGAACAAATCGAGAGTTCGCTGCGTTTTTAGGGCCTTCGATAAGGAAGCCACAAGCATAAAAAACAACAGCAAAAAAGAAAAATTCATCAAAATACCACTAAAAACCCTTCAAACGATGCATTGGTTTGTAATGCTTGTAACTTTGTAAGGGAACATCGTAGAACACGCGACAATTTCTCATTTCGTTTAGAACTTTGTACTTAATCAGATGGGACTGTTCAAAACAAACTTTTATGACGTTTTTAAACACCTGAAAACTACTGTATGAAGTTTTCTTTAGAAAAACTTTCTCCAATATGAAATCTTAATATACAATGTCTGAAAAGCATGCCGTCAAATAAAACTACAATAACACTCTTTAATAATTCACATGAGCTTTTTATCATTTCATAGAATATTATCAGAAGTTTTATTTCATATGATTTCACCCATAAATATTGTTCCAAATGATCGACATGTACCTGAAGGCATACAGTCATATATTTTCGAAGCATATATAGAAAATCATTGCATAAAGCTTTTTCTAAGATCATTATGATCTCATCATTGATTCTTATTTGCATACTAATAATAAGAGATTTTATATAAATCTCAGTGCACAATACCATGTTAATATATAAATAAAAACTTGAGGCACTATGTAAATTAGATATCGTTTCAGAATATCTTCTAGAGATTGTTTATAAAAGACATTCGTACATAGATGATTTATTCTCTATTAATCAAGAATTGGAATAACGGTCAAGTAAACAGAAGATTGATAGTTTGATTCATCTGTATTTGCTTTCANTCGTAGACATTGATATGATTGTCCAGCAATAGGAACATCAATTTTAGTTGAAATAGTCATCTTTGTAACGAAAACTGGAGTGATTGATTTAAAAATTTCAGTTTGAAACTTTAGGAAGAAGAAACTAACTGAACAGATAAAAACTGGTTTCTATCAAAGTCAAAAGAGCTTAAGCTTTCATCATAATGTATATGATAGTAACATATCACCCATTCATTTAAAGATAAAACTTTCCTGCCATTCGTTAATTACTAATGAGCTAGCGAAAAACATTTGACTTTAAAATTCCTATGCTTATATAAGTTCTATGATTTTATTTTCGCTAAACAATTTCGAACAATTGTAAATGATTTTCGTCAATTATGAATTCATGATGAAACTATACATCGTCTTGATGCATTTTTATATTTAACTGTTTTAAGTGAGAATTTGAAATTATTATTATCATTATTATATACCATGATTATTACAATGGACACATTTTCTGAATATGCATGATTATACATAAGAAGCATGGTGGTCATCAATACTAACACCATCATCATTAATAACACATCATCAATGATTATTTTTTATTTGGACAAAGTGAATTTAGATGAAAGTGGTCTTGTATTAGTTTTATTAATTGACAATTTCTTCCATTACCATATATATTTGTATTACGTTGAGCTGAATTAATTGTTTGTCGTTGTATGGAAATAATGTTAATACTTGATCAACAAACATTAAATAAACAATTATTACCTAAATATTTACCATTAATTTTATAAATATTATCAATAACAATATCAATCAATATGACACCAAAAATTTATGAACAAATGCTTAAAAATGTAACTTACAAAAAATGATTACCAATTATGAGGTCACTGGTATGTTTTATTTCGATAAATCGAAATAAATATATATGTATAAGGAAAATTTCAGTTCAATTAAAGAAAAAAATGTTTGTTTTACTTTGACATTGTTTATGTGTTAGTAATAGATGAGACTTTCGAATAATTCGAAATTTCGAGAAGTATTTCGAAGTATAATACTTATCGATCTACTGTACTTACATATAAAGAAGAACGAATTTTTATGCCATAGATAAGAAACACAAAATGTAGAATTTCAGGTAATACGAGTCATAAAGGAAAGCGTTTAAGCTACATTAGTATAATGATTGAACCATTCATCTCGAATCTCATTGGTCAAATTTAGCTAAAGAATTGCAACTCAAACTAATTTTTAAAAATCAGGAATTTGAAGTTTATGACACGTCCTTCTAAACAAATATCATGAACTGATGGCGAAGGATACAACAATAGCGTTGATCTTATATTCATTTCGACTTTTTCGGTCGAAAACAGTCTATTGTTTTAAAACTCAGCTATTTTCTTGCAATTGTCTCTCTGACTCAAAAAACATCGAAATTCATTCAAGACTATCATTCCTTACTTTATTATACATTAACTAGATTACCATACGCTTATCAACGTTGTATCGCATGTTTAAGTCATTGTTTTTCTTCCACAGCATAGAATTTTTACAATGATTCTCATATAAATGAAAATAACTTCAGAAAATAAGAAACAATATAATTCTTTTTCTTTTAAGAACTTCGAATCGTTATCCATCCTTCATTTTTCTTGTTCTTACTATTATTATTCCATGATTATGGCACGGATTAATAAGTGCATTAATTTAAAAAATTAATCATCTGTTTTTCACTACGAACACAGCGATTAATATCAAATGAAATAAATTTCAATGATGTTGAAACAACATTTGATACAATTATTAGAAAAAGTCTTTTATTATGTTTTAATAATCAACCATATTTAATTGCACTAATAGATTCTATATCAATTTATTTTGTTATAATACAAAATTATGTTGAATTAACATGTCAATTTTCAATAGATGATACACATGATTTATTACGGGGCGTGGGTGTTTTCTTCATCCACACCCACACCCANAAGAAATATTTGAAGATTTAATAAAACATTGTGATTCATTAATAGCAAGTGGACATGAACCTGAAACATATGGTAGGAAGCTATATGATTTTTTTCTTGTTTGAGTTCACGCAGACAATAAAAAAATAGAAGCAGAGCGAATGATTTTTGTTCACACATCACTAAAACTTGTTCGATATAATAAAATATTGTCATATTTTAAGAAATAGTCACTATGCGAATAACTGAAATTTCTAAAAAGTTTTATTTAATGATAGTGAACAAAAGGTGTCCCTCTATAAGGTCTCAAATATCATAGAAACTCGAGAGGGAGTGAGTGTGTAGGTGTAAGTTTTCTTCTCGATTGAACCCACACCCCCACCCTTTTCTTTACAAATAGAATCAATCGCTTTTGGATACTTATTCCACACAATTAACACTATTTTATGTTGTACCATTAGTTGCATTACGATCAATTGATCCATTTGTTGTTGTTTTTGTTTATGAAGTTTTCCTGTAGTTTAAAATGCTTTTTAGAATGTGAAATTGTCAATCTACAAATTGATGGTTAATCAATATAAATATGATATTTCAATGTCTTGTACAAAATTTAACTGAAGATGCTATATTAGCTCGATGAAATGAGATTTTATCATCATTTAATGAAACACGAGATGAAACGTTTAGCGCGTAAGTATTCGAAAGAATTTTATTTGTAATCTAAAAACTACTATTCTCATTTTTCTTTTTAGAACTCTTCTTCGAATTTTAACTAATACTCGACAATTATGTGATCGAATCGATATGACATTAGTTTCTCTTGCATCTAATTATCTGTATGTAC